TGCTGCTCCATCTGGACTCAGACTTGTGGCTCATCAGTTTGTTTTGCAGTAAGACGATGACCCTAAGCTCTCTGCCGAGCTCTGTCAGGGTTACCGAGACAAAAGAGAAGAGGAAGGTGTTCTTCAAAAGATGGTTTGGACCCCTCAGTCTCCAGACCTTTCTCCAGTTGAGCCTGTGTGGGATGAATTGGATCGATCGGTCAGAGAAATCAGCGTCTCTTTTTAATGAACTTCAGAAAGCTTGAATGTAATCCCTGGAACAGACCTTAGAAAACTTGGTGAACGAATGTTAAAGCCAGAGGAGGTAACTTTAAAGAAAGTCTAACAACAAAAACTCAAATACCTCAGAATTAGAGTCAGAATGTCTCCTGATCAGTTTCTCTTTACACTGTAGTCATGGTTACTGTGTTTAAAATTATATTTATGAAACTATGATCTTTGTTTGGACTAATCTGATCTTCTTCCAAACTTTTGGTCTGTAGTGTACTGAGAACAGAGACATCTATACTGAGAACAGAGACATCTATACTGAGAACAGAGACATCTATACTGAGAACAGAGACATCTATACTGAGAACAGAGACATCTATACTGAGAACAGAGACATCTATGCTGAGAACAGAGACATCTACACTGAGAACAGAGACATCTATACTGAGAACAGAGACATCTATACTGAGAACAGAGGCATCTATACTGAGAACAGAGGCATCTATACTGAGAACAGAGACATCTGTACTGAGAACAGAGACATCTATGCTGAGAACAGAGACATCTACACTGAGAACAGAGACATCTATACTGAGAACAGAGACATCTATACTGAGAACAGAGACATCTATACTGAGAACAGAGACATCTATACTGAGAACAGAGACATCTATACTGAGAACAGAGACATCTACACTGAGAACAGAGACATCTATACTGAGAACAGAGACATCTATACTGAGAACAGAGACATCTATACTGAGAACAGAGACATCTATACTGAGAACAGAGACATCTATGCTGAGAACAGAGACATCTACACTGAGAACAGAGACATCTATACTGAGAACAGAGGCATCTATACTGAGAACAGAGGCATCTATACTGAGAACAGAGACATCTGTACTGAGAACAGAGACATCTACACTGAGAACAGAGACATCTATACTGAGAACAGAGACATCTATACTGAGAACAGAGACATCTATACTGAGAACAGAGACATCTTTACTGAGAACAGAGACATCTATACTGTAAAATCTAGACTGTCAGGCGCTTCAGAACTGCTAGCTTAGCTTTAGCTTTTCTCTGGGATTAAGATATTGATCACATTATAGATTCAATATTGATTATAAACCAATGATTTCTGTCTGAATTCTAACTGATCAGGATTTGAATGAAAATTTTAGTCATTTATTGATCTTTTTGTTGATCAAGTTTATTAGTAACAAAATCAATCAGAAACAATAAATTCGATCAATTATTGATCAGGTGAAAATCAACAGACAGTGGGGGGGTTATTAAATAAAACGTCTTTCTCTCTTTTTGAACCTCAAAGTTTTTTAGTTTTAATTCTGAGTAAATATTTTAGATCTGAAGGTCGTCAGACCAGAACGACTCGGACCTTCAGCCTCTTTAGGGATTCACATTCTAACACACACACACTTGGTTCTGGTCCAGAGACTCTGGGTCACCTGAGGTCCTACCATAATTTCGGTTGCCATGGTTACGCCGTTTGTGCTGACTGGTTTTGATTGGCTGAGATCTGATGATTTAACCATCACTCTGTTTGATGTTTGTGAGGTCACTTCCTGTTCCTCAGTCATGTGATCCATCAGAACGTCTGATCAGGGATCAGAGCTCCTCCCCCCCGTGTCTCTGTGTCTCTGTGTTAATAAAGTTTCAGCAGATTGAAGCGTTAATCTGTCAGATTAGCTCGGTCAGCAGATTAGCAGAGTTCTGTTAATCCTGACGGTCTGAGGAGGATCTGTGTCAGTCAGCATGAGGACCACGAGGATGACCACCACGACCACGACCACGCCGCCGCTGCTGCTGCTGCTCTCAGGTACGTCCTCAAAAACCAGACTGACCCTCTTCAGAGGGACTTCCTGTCAGAGTCACACCTGAGCGTTTTCACCTGAGTTTACAGTCGGACCGCCGTCTGGATTCACCGATCAGCTGATCAGCGATTAATGAACCTATAACAGGTTTTTATCAAACCTCCGATCAGAGCTGCACGGCACACCTGACCAACGCCATCTTTGTTTGACACCTGACCAACGCCATCTTTGTTTTGGTTCAATAATAAAACCAAACTGTCTGTCTGTTTTCCTCTCTAACTTTTCTTTTCGTCTTTTTTTCATCATCTGTCGTTCTCGTCGTAGTTCTTCTGCTGGTGTCGGTGTCGGCGTTCGTGGAGGAACTCGATGATTCGTGAGTTTAAAATAACTAGAAATTAAAACGATGGCGTTCGAAAGAAACTGAAACACGTGTGTGTGTGTGTGTGTGT